CTGCCTATAAATAACCAAGTCAGGTTGATCTCACTCCCTGTGATCACTTAAGGTGGAGTTAACCCAGAGGAAACCAGTTCCTTTTGAACTTGGTGGCCCTTTTAACTTAGGTAGTTCCATTTGTATTTGCAAATGGAAGTTGTGAGCTTAGAGCATGTGTGAGATGCAACAAGAGACACACAAAAATGACCAACCATCAGCATGTTTAACAACTAAAACCACAATCTGCTGGTTTGGCCACATCCCTTGGTTCAAGGGATGAGAACACAGTGCTGCTTAGAGCTAGAATATCAGTTCTGAGTAGAGAATCTGCCTCACCTTGAATAAAACACTGCACGAGTTGGTTTTATCATAGTACATTTTTTTGACTACTTCACTTTCTCCTATTGAATAAAATAAGCTTGATTTGGATTGTAGCTCTGACACTTCAGATCCTCAAGTTTAGGTTTCACCACCTGATTCACACGTATTGAGACACAGTATCTTCTCTTTATACCAGGTAAGGCCAGAGCTCTGTTTTGCCTGGATTGTTTTTACATTGGATAATGCAGTTCAGCTTTGTGGTGACATTCCTCTGTTGTTTTGGGATTTCTCCACCACAATGACAGAGTGTGCCCAGCTCTTCATTCCATACAGTACTGTGGCTACCTGGCCAAGTTGAGGTGTGCACATCTGGTGGTTGCTGGAGCAGTGTGACAGTGCTTCTGGTGTGCTGTGTGCATGGGACCTGGTTTGGACACATGCTCCAAAATCAGTGTGACTTCTGTGTCTGAAGAGTGATTGCTATCATGTTCCTGAGCTAAAAATGAGCTGGGAGCTACCCCGTTCCCAAGAGGGATGGCTTCAGAGACTGGTTTGTCCCCCTCCCTGCACCATCTAGCTCAGGCTGTTAGATGGGTGAGCACAGGAACTCTGCAGGATAGTTGTGCTGCTGTGACTGATTCAGTCCTCATTCTGCTTCCAGACACTCCGTGTGGACTGAGAATCTTTCTCCCTTTAGGTTTGCTTCTTCCTGGTACGTAGAATTGTCTTTTTCCAGCCAGTCTGCTTTATGAAGGCAACTCTTTAGGGTAAGGCTAGTTAGGGCAAGTGAAAAGTCGAGCAGGTTTTCTTCTTGGTTTGGTTTGGTTTTTCTTTTTGGATGGGTGGTTTTTGTTTTGTTCTTTGCAAGGTTTTTCTTGAAAAGGGAAGCTTTACTGCTCATTGCTTTTCAAGCTCCTCTCCTCTCTGGGTTTGAACAAGCTCTCATTATTGTAGAGCTTAGGGGACACAGCTGGTACAGGAGGGGACGGTGTAACATCTAGGGGCTTTGTACAGATGTTTGTACACTTGTGTAATATGTAATAGGCCTTTTCACACTTTCTGTTGAGCTTTTTACCTGTAACCTTTACTATGTTGTAAATTAAATGCAGATTTTGCCAGCTTGGAGAGTGTAGTGTGTTCGTTCCCAGCCCGCGCTCCCGCAGCTGAGGCTGTACCTTTATTCTGTGGCTTATGGGATGGATTTGTGCTATGGCCAAGTGCTGCTGTCACTGCAGGTCTTGTTCATGTGGCTGGCTCAGGCTGCAGCTCTTAAAGCTGCTCCAGCTCCTCTGCTCGTGACCTGCTTTGCTGCCTGGTGCTGCAGTGCACAAGAGGGGCACTTAAGAGTGGATTTTAAACAGCAGTTGCCTTTGTTTTGTGGGTGAAGTTCTACCAGCTTCTGCCATAATCCTCCCTCCACAAAAGTTATTTAGAGCCCAGTTTTGCTCTTCTTATTGCCCAGTTTGTTGCCTATGGCATATAGAGGAACCTTGGATCTGAATGCACCGTCCTTTGTCACAGTGGGTCTGCAGCTTGTCCCAGACTCACTGGGGAGAGCTGCAGTGAAAACCAGTAAACTGGGACTTGGTTAAAGGTGCCTGCAGGGGAGGGTTGAGCTGTTTAGGCTGCAGATGAGTACTTCTCAATGCAGCAATATCCGCTGGGCAGTTTCATTCCTGTGTCAGCAGGAGGCTGAATCTTCACAAGGTGTACAAGCTGCTGATGTGCGTAGGTAAAAATAGTTGGTACAGGTCAAGTAGTTAGCTTTGTGGTCTGATATTCTAAGTGTTGGTGTGGTTAGCAGTTAATTTCCTGTGTTAAAGGAAAGGAGTCTGCTTGCATGATAATCTAAAGCACTCTCTGTGATGTGGAATGCAGACCAAAGAGGTAAAGTCTGCAGCTAACTGAGCTATAGTGGTAGTGTTTTCCAGGCCCATTTGTCCTTACAGCATTACCTGGATTGTCATTGTAACCCCTCTTCAATCTTGGTTTTAGAAGGCTGCAGTACCCAGCAGGTATCCCAGGAGCTAGTAACACACTGATGCAAGTTGTTCTGTTCCCAGTGTGCTGTGCACTAAGGTACCTCTGTGTTAGAGACCTGCCTGAAACAAGGGCTTCTTGGAGAGGAGGTGAGTTTTCCCTGGGCCCTTTTAGGAGAGCAGGAAAAGCTTCCAGCACGGAGCAGGTGAGTGAGCAGCCACAGCGTGCACGCCTCTGATCATACCAAGTGCTTTGAGTCACCTGGGAGGCAGCAGTGCAGGAATACTCCAGCCATGCTGGTGAACTGCAGCAAGAGCTTCCCTCACCCCCAGAACTTAACAGCTCTTCCCTTGTTTCTGCTGAATCAGCTGCTCAGGAGCAGCTTTGTGTAACTTACATGAATTGTTTGCTGTGTGCTCATTGCTTCCCGTTGGGTGGTGGGGTTTGGGGTTTGTTTTTTGGGGAGGGGGATGGAAGAGGGGAGCAGAATAACCAATTGCACGAATAACCAGTCTCTAGTAAAAGGGCTATGTCTGCCTAGCCTGTCTTTTGCAAAAGGCAAAAAGCAAAGCTGATAGTAACATGACAAGTGAGTTTCTAGCTAGCAGTTTCCTCATTAGCTATCACTGGGCCCATCTGTTAGAGAGTTTTTATGTTTTTCTTGTTACCTCTTCACAACTTTATCTCAGTTACTCAGTGTGCAGAACACAACCACTTACACCAAGATGCAGGCTTTACAGTTGGCTGCTGCTGGCCAGAATCCTGGTCAAGGCCCTTGCTTGTACCTGGTTGAGCATCTGAATTTCTGCAAACCCTTTCCAACAGGCTTTTCACCTCCTCTTCTCCGTGCTGTTAATGGTAGGTGTGTTTTGTTCCTCTTGGGCAAATGCACAACCGGAGGGGAAAAGGCAACTGCATCGTTTCCTGGCTCACTGCATGAGCAACTTCCTCTGGTGCAACTCCCCTGCTCCTGCTGCTCCCCATCCTCATCACCCGTGTTGGAGCCTCACGAGGGTATGAAACAAAACCACTCATGGGAAAGGAAAGCTCTTCCCACAGCGTGTGGGGAGCGCTGCTGAGGGGAACCGAGGGCTCTTGGTGGAAGGGGCCGGGCTGGTTTCACTGAGCACTTGAACCGAAGCCACAGCTCCGAGGGTTTCACTGGCCCTGCCCTCGAGGGCACCTGCCTGGCAGCGAGCAGGAGGAAGTGAAAACATCCCAGCCCTTCCTCAGCTCAAGGCTTGGACAGGTTCGCTGCCTCTTCCTCCCCCAGCTGCCCTGCTGTCCCACAGGCATCCCAAGCCTCCCGAAGCCCTGCAAAGCAGCAGCCTCCCTGGCTCATCCCCTGATGTACTCGGGCTCAAGGCTAAGCTCCCAGCAGAGGAACATGGGCATCGTCACCCCCAAAGCTCAGCCTTATGGCCTGCAGTGAGCTGTCTTCAGCATCTCTCTGCCTCTCCTCACTCCCCTTCTCTTGCAGCCCTTTCCCATCCCTGAAGGGATGCTGCTTCCACCTTGGCTCTTGTTCTCCATGGCCCATCCCTGGCTCTTAGCTGCTGGAGCTCAGCAGCCTGGTGCCTTGCTCCTAGAAGCCTCTTCCAGGCAGGAGCCAGTGGGCTTTTGAGCTGAGCTCTCACCCTCTGCTCCATCCTTGTAGGTTGTCAAGACTTTGACCTCTCTGACTTGCCCTGGTGGTAAGGGTAGTGCAGCTCCGAGTGTCAGTTTGTCCTCTAGATGTTCTCTAGATGTCCCTGCGGCTGTGACACCCGGCGTGGCGTGCTGCAGGCGCCTCGTGCAGGGGGAGTCTCCATGTGCCTGCACTCCCTGTCAGCCTGCACCGAGTGATGGGAAGCACCAATTCCAGTCAGCGCAGCCACTTCTGCAGCTGGAGGCAAAGCAGAAAGAGCTCTCTTCCTGCATCTCCCGAGTTTCATTTCCATGTTGTCCCATCCTGCTCCCACTCCTAGGCTGCAGCTTCAGGGCAGTGTGACTCATAGGGCAAGCTGAAGGAAAACCCTTACAGAGATGAGCAGCAGCAGCAGCTCTCAGAACCCATGGAGCTGGTGGCTGCAGGGACCATGGTCGGATGCTTTGTTGAAGGATGGGGATGTCTCTTCTCCTGTCCTGGAGACATGGGAATCTGGGTTTGCCTTTCCCATGGCTGCAGTGACCAGAACCAGTGACTCCCCTCTCCTGACACGCTGAGCACAGCCAGGACGTGATGTTTGTTATGGGGGTGAGTGGGGTCTGAAAGCCCAGAGGTGAGCCGGGATGGAGGTGCCGGTGTGTCTGTAAAGGGAGAGGGATGTTTGGACACAGCCCTTTGCTTCCTCCGCAGCGGTCTACCCAGACCTGTCGCACAGCACCATCGCTGTCTGGCCCCAGCAGGGCAGGAGGGTCCATGGGAAATGTGTGATGGGGACAGCCTGGGTGGGACACGACCCGGCAGAGCTGGGGCCTGGTGCCTTCATCCACATCACCAGCAGGGCCGGGACGGGGGGATCCCAAGCCGTGATGGAGTCAGGAAGAGGACTGACCCGCAGCGCATAGGTCAGGCCGTGCAGGCTGCAGAGGTGCTGCTGGCGCAGCTCTGTGGCCAGAAAGGGAAGTCTCCGCTGCTAGAAACAGAAGTGAAAAGTGGGCAGAAGTGAAAGCAAAGCTCAGATCTGCTTCCCACACAGTTCCCATCTCTGCAGAGCGCCCTGGAGCACCCAGCAGCACGGCCATGGAGCCCCTCTCCCTCCAGGAATACATCTGCTCCCTGGACCCCACCACCCTGCCCCGCATCCTCAGGATTTGCTCCGGTGTCTACTTCCAAGGTGAGTGCTGGGTGCCCCCTGCCTCCAAAGGGTGCCCCAAGGCTGTGCCACCTCCCTGTGCCCTGCCACCAGAGAGGCACAGGGTCCCGTGCCACCACCAGACACTGTGTTTAAGCTACAGCTGCTTTCAGTTATGCTTTTGGGGCACCAAACCCCGTCCAGGCTGGTCCTTCACTTCCTGCACTGCCCTCATCCCAGGCAGTGAATCACCTGCTGGCAGCAGGTCTGGCAGGGATGGAGTGTACCTGAGGAACCATTATCCCTGGCCCCAAGGGGAGGAGACCAGCAAGGGCACAGAGCCTGGTCTGAGCATCCTGCTTCCTCCTGCACCATGTCCCTGGAGGCATCTTAGGTGGAGGAGAAGCCTTGGCTGCCGTGGCTTTTGAAGAGCAGAAGTGGTTGGGGTGGCCTCACTGCTCACTTGAGGTGGATGCTCAGCTTTCCCACAGGCTTCTGGTGGCCTCAATGACATCTTAGTGTTGCTAAATGAGCAATAATGCCGCTGCTGCACCGGCAGCAGACCCCCTGTCCTGCCCTTGCTGCAGTCCTGGTGAGGCTGGTGGTGCTTTCTGCTTTGCACAGCAAGGGCTTTGTCCGAGGTTCATCCCAGAGAGGTTTGGGGTGCACGGAAGGTTTGGTAGCAGCTCAGTGAAGGCAGAGATTTAAAGGCACCAGGGGGCATTGCTGGTGTTGGAGGGTGCTGAGAGGTGAGAGCGTAGCCTGAGGAGTTCCTGTGCCCCGACTGTGAGCAAGCCCTGAACCTTTCCTGCTGCGTTTCCCCTCCGAGGGGCATCGGTTCAGCCTCCAGCCGCTCCTGCTGTGCTCTTCTGCACTGCTCTTTACCCCATCGCAATCCTGCGCAGCTCCCAGCACTGGAAGCTTCCCAGGACACGGGCTGTACAAGCTTCCAGGTATTCCTGATTCCTTGGAAACACACATCAGCCCAAGAGAGCCCCCTCAGCCAGCCCGGCTGTGTGCTCCTTCGGCTGCCGGTGAGCGGTGCTGGACCCTGGGGATGAACCCCTGTGGCACCCTGCAGGCGCCGTGTCCTACACCGATGCTGTTCCTTGACCCCTGGTGCTGTTTCTGGGTTTCCTGCTGTCACTGGAGGTCTCGCTGCTTGTGGTTTTCGGTGGCAAAGCTTTGGCTGGGTTCCCAAGATGCCAAACAGAACCGCTGCCGGTCATGGCCCCTTCTCGGGCTCCTCTCCCAGCCTCCACTCGCCAGCTCTGCGCTGGAGCTGGATGAGCTTTGAGGCCCCTTCCAACCCAAACCTCTCTGTGGTTCTATGGAGCGCTGGAGGAGGCGTTTCCTTTGAGGACCCCCCCCTTTTCTCCCCCCATAGGGTCCGTGTACGAGATCTCGGGCAACGAATGCTGCTTGTCCACGGGCGACCTGCTCAAGGTGACAGCCGTGGCGCTGCAGAAGGTCATCTGTGAGGATGTGGGCACGGGGCAGACCACGGAGCTGCCACCGACCTTTAAGGGTGAGCGGGGCTGCCCTGCCCCATCCCGCACCCCAGGGGTGCCCCTTCCCCTCTGCAGCGCCCATGGGCTCAGCCCCATCGCCCCCAGGCGTGTTCCAGCCGGCACCGTCGGGACCCGTCCCAGAGGGCGGCAGGGACCGGGGGCTGACGCTGCAGCAGGCACTGGGCAAGGGGCAGTCACAGCCGGTGCTGTGCCGAGCCCTGGGCCCCCGAGCGCTGATCCTGCGCCCCGTCTATGAGGTGCACGCTGCTATGGACCGTGAGTGAGCAGGGCAGCGGGTGGGGTGGGCATGGGGGGGTCGGGGTGGGGGGTGCCCCTGGGTCAGGGCAGGGAGCGCTGTGGGATGGATGCGGTGGGGTTGGATGGGATGCTGTGGTGGGGTTGGATTGGGATGCTGTGGGGTTGGGATGGATGCTGTGGTTGGGGTTGGATGGGATGCTGTGGTTGGGGTTGGATGGGATGCTGTGGTGGGGTTGGATGGGATGCTGTGGTGGGGTTGGATGGGATGTTGTGGTGGGGTTGGATTGGGATGCTGTGGTGGGGTTGGATGGGATGTTGTGGTGGGGTTGGATTGGGATGCTATGGTGGGGTTGGATTGGGATGCTGTGGGGTTGGGATGGATGCTGTGGTTGGGGTTGGATGGGACGCTGTGGGGTTGTGCTGGGACGCTGTGGGGTTGTGCTGGGACGCTGTGGGGTTGTGCTGGGACGCTGTGGGGTTGTGCTGGGACGCTGTGGGGTTGTGCTGGGACGCTGTGGGGTTGTGCTGGGACGCTGTGGGGTTGTGCTGGGACGCTGTGGGGTTGTGCTGGGATGCTGTGGGGTTGGATGGGATGCTGTGGGGTTGGATGGGATGCTATGGTTGGGGTTGTGTTGGGACGCTGTGGGGTTGTGCTGGGGCGCTGTGGGGTTGTGCTGGGACGCTGTGGGGTTGTGCTGGGACGCAGTGGGGTTGTGCTGGGGCGCTGTGGGGTTGTGCTGGGACGCTGTGGGGTTGGATAGGATGCTATGGTTGGGGTTGTGCTGGGACGCTGTGAGGTTGTGCTGGGACGCTGTGAGGTTGTGCTGGGATGCTGTGGGGTTGTGCTGGGGCGCTGTGGGGTTGGATAGGATGCTATGGTTGGGGTTGTGTTGGGACGCTGTGGGGTTGGATAGGATGCTATGGTTGGGGTTGTGTTGGGACGCTGTGGGGTTGGATAGGATGCTATGGTTGGGGTTGTGTTGGGACGCTGTGGGGTTGGATGGGATGCTATGGTTGGGGTTGTGCTGGGACGCTGTGGGGTTGGATAGGATGCTATGGTTGGGGTTGTGCTGGGGCGCTGTGGGGTTGGATAGGATGCTATGGTTGGGGTTGTGTTGGGACGCTGTGGGGTTGGATGGGATGCTATGGTTGGGGTTGTGCTGGGACGCTGTGGGGTTGCGCTGGAGGTGCTGCAGGGTCAGGAGCCTACACCAGCTTGGTGCTGGGACCGCAGAGGGGGTGCCTGTGCTGGGCTCCTCTCCCACACGGGGCCGGTGAGAGCTGCGCTCCCGCAGTGCGCAGGGACGTGGTGAAGATCCCCTCCACGCTGGAGGTGGACGTGGAGGACGTCACGGCCGAGGCGCAGCACGCCCGCTTCTCCCAGCCGCTGCTGCTGAGCGAGGTGCTGGCCATGGCGCACGTGCTGCCGGTCCAGGCCGAGATCCTGGAGGGCCCGGCCGGCCCCGCCGTCTTCCAGAGCTCCTGGGTGCCGCGGCTGCGCCAGGGGCAGCGGCTGCAGCTCCACGGCTGCTCCGGCTCATGGCGAGTGCTGGCCTCGGCCCCGGGCAGGCGCCGCCATTTCCTGCTCGCCAGCACCTACCGGGGCCAGCTCCGGATGCGGCCGCGCCAGTTCACGGGGGTGCAGGAGCTGGCGGCCGCCGTGTGCCCGGGCCGGGCCCTGCGCGTGGTGGTGACGCAGGACTGCGAGGGACGAGGCCTCCACGTGCCCCCACTCAGCGTCGGCGACCGCCTGGAGGCCATGGGGCTGCAGGGGCACGGCCCCGGCACCCGCCTGCGCTGCCACCGCCACAGCGGCGACGAGGAGGAGGAGGAGGAGGAAGGCGAGGAGCTGCTGCTGCCGCTGGACCTGGGCGGCAGCTTCGTGGAGGAGGCACGTGGCAGCAGGAGGTACGGGCTCGAGGAGCTGCTGGAGCGGCGGGCGCTGCCCTGCGACGTGCGCGTGGTGGCCCCGGACCCGGCGCTGGCGGGGGACGCGCTGGGCACCCTGCCCGCCCTGCGCCTCGAGGCGCGCCTGCACCTGCCCGTCCTCGTGGGCAGCTTCTGCGAGGAGCCCGAGCAGGGCTTCGAGGTGCCGCCGCGGTGGATGGACTGCTCCGTCCTGCTGCGCCAGGGCCCCGTGCGCCCCGCGCCCCACTGCGCCCCCGTGCAGGAGCTCACCGAGGACTTCTACTACCGCTTGCTGGCACAGCTGCCCCGCAGCGAGGCCCCGCCGCCCCCCCGGCCCCCCAAGCCAGTGCAGGCGGGGATGGCACCAAGGGGGAACCCCCCCTCTTCGGCACCCCAATCCCCTGGCCCCGCGCTGATGGGTGCCTGCGCGGCTCCTCCAGTGCTGCCCCAGAGGAGCGCTTCCAGCCTGTGTGGACAGCGGGGATGCCCCGGGGATGCAGGTGAGCCGGGTGATGTACGCATGTGAGCACGTTTGTTGTACAGACCCAAGTCTCAGGTGTGAGATGCTCTGAGCCAGCCTCTCACCTTGCAGCGCCTGCATCTCATGTCTGTGGAGCACGAGCACCCTACTTCAGGCTGGGGCAGTGGCCAGGAGGGGTGGTGTGGTCCCACGCTGAATCCGAGGTGTCTGAAAGCGCTGCAGCCCGTGGCTATTGACACCACGGGTGCACATGTACCTTTTACATGACCGACAGACTGGTTACCTGCTCCCATGTCCCCAGCCTGATGGATGGAGGCTGATGCTCTCAAGTGAGGCTTTGCTCATGAGGCATTCAGGGGAGCCAGGACAACCGCTAGGCATTTATATAACTTTTATTTTTATTGAAATCTGACAGACATACCCACATCTTGATTCTCATTACTTAAATCCACCTTGAGAGACTCCAGGATTTTGGCTTCTCACCTCACACCATGTGCTTCATAGCGTGTGACACCTCCTGGTCCCCCCCATGGGGCTCAGCACAGAGATGCGCTGCCCAGGCAGGAGGATGAGGCCTCCCCCCCAACATCAGTGGGTTGTGTTTAACTGGGGGTGCTGCTGGCCACCAGTCCCTGGGGCTGTCCTCATGCGGACCTGGGCAGGGATGCTCAGGTGATGTCCGCACCCCAACAGCCAGCTGGGCCCCCGTGGGGGCTGCACCTCCCCATCCCCTTGTCCCAGATGCAGGAGGGAACCCACAAGTCGTTGCCCAACCCCTGTGTCCTCAGGGTCTCCCCCATCCTCCTGTCCCACAAACACAGGGGCACATGGGGAGGCCACCCAGCCCCATTGTCCCACACAGGGACCATGATGAAGGGCAGCAAGGCTCAACCTCAAGGGCGATGGGGCAGTAAACACCGCCGCAAGCCGTGGACCTCCACCCCCCAGATCACAGGAGCTGTGGCCCCAGAGGCTGGTGTTTGTGGTAGCAGAGCATCACGAGAGGCCCTTCTCCCCCTGCATCCTCAGCCCTCATCATATCCGCGTGCAGCTCAGACGGGGGAGGTTGGCAGAGCAGGTCGGGGGGTCCCCCATGAGGTTTGTGGTGTGCAGGTTCCTGTCCACAGCCTCTGCTTTCTCTTCCCTTCCAGACCCAGGAAGTGACAGCTCTGAGCACGATTACGAAACCATCGACGACGCCATCCAAAAGCCAGTGCACAAAATGCAGGCAATTTTCCCCTTCTAGTCCTGCACCCTGTGAAAGCCACCGAGCCTCCAACCACCCCGAGACCTTGTGTGCCATTGGCTGCTTGCAGAGGCTAACTCCAGCCCTGGGGATGCACAGCAGAGCCCTCAGTTGTCTCAGTCCTTGCAGAGCAGTGCCCACGTTCCTCAAAGGCAAAGCAGCCTGCATGGGCCAGCCCCGGGCACAGGATGAGTCCCCTTGTTCCGCTGTGCCCTCGGCTGTCACCTGTGGGACTCTCCAACAGCACCAGAGCAGCATGGTGCTGGGTGGCCACTGAGATGCCAGCACAGGCCCTGGGACATGGACCATGCTCTGCTCTGCTGACAAGGGGGCCTGGGCTGGGATTAGGGGGTGCTTCCAGGCGGGTATGTGATGGGGCCAGCACATCTGTGGCACGTGGGGAGAGGTGGAATCATGACAAGGCCCTTTAACACAGCACAAGCTGTGCCCCAGTGCACCCAGCACCACGGCTTTGCAGTTGCCTCTCAGAAACCCTCTTCTCTAAGGCAGAAGCTGCGTTTTTCTCGAGGGCAGCCATTTCTACACCAAGGTTGTAGAAACACTGTAAGAATGCTGTGGCTTTGGGTTTTGCGGGGTTTCTCACTTAGGTTGAACTGCACTTGGAGCTGGAAGCAATGTCTGTCCTGTGGAGCCCCCTCCTGCTTGCAGGCATGCTTGTGGCACTCTTTCAGGCTCTTGGCACCTAGAAAGGGGCCAATGAGCTGCCCTAATGGCATTGGATGCAAAAATATAACCTGAAACCCAAATAAGGACCAAAGTTCAAGTTTTCTTTCCCTGGAAATTTGGCAAAAGCCCCAGGGAAGTGGCAGAGACAAAGACCTCATGGTCCTGATGTGCATTAATGGAGAAGAGCAGCTGCTGAGGGGAGAGCTTTATCCCGAAAGCAGGCAGGGGTGTCACTCCTGTATCACGCACTGCACTCCTTTCCAATCAGAGCTGGAAAATAAATCATGGATTTCACTTCAGATCAAATTGCTGGGTTCTTTCCCCTCTCCCAGTGGAGAGCTTTGATTTTTCAGTTATTCCTCACTCAGCGCCTAGGGCAGAATCCCAGTGCTGCAGAGAGGAGCTCATTCATTCCAACTTGGCTCGACTCCCATCCAACCTGGCCTTGAGCACTGCCAGGGATGGGGCAAGCCACAGCTTCTCTGGGCTCCCCGTTATCTCCACCCTGACACATCATCAGCAAGAACCCTGCTGGTTCCTGACTTAATGTTATGCTTCAAAGATAAAGAAGAAAAACCTGTTCCAGGCCATGCGGTTAATGTGACCTTCAGCTAAAATGCCTTTGGTGGCAGAAATGATCCCAGCTCCATCCCTGGCAGTGTTCAAGGCCAGGCTGGACAAAGCCTTGGGTGAGATGGTTTAGTGTGAGGTGTCCGTGCCCATGGCAGGGGGTTGGAACTGGATGATCTGAAGGTCCTTTCCAACCCGAACTGTTCTATGATTCTATTTGTAACACTGGTAAGTGGCACTTTCTTCGCTAGTACTAACAAGTTATTTGTCCAGACATTTACTTTAAAGCCATTTACTTCAAAAACTAAGGAAAAAAGAACTAAAAAAACTCCAAAAGCAGGAGCTGGGTTTTACCCATATGGGTAGGTTCTGGCAAGGCAGATAGTGTTCTTTAGGGAAGAAAAGCCGCTGAAGCCACACACAGACAGGGCTACCAAAGTTAGAAGTTTACTGGAAATGTTCAAAAGCTCTAGTAACCAGATCACCTCATAGTACAAATATAGATCTAAATGTATAAAGTAAACCAGGGAAAAATCAAATCATGATTACTGTACCTCACTGGAATCTTACTCTGGGCTACCCACTTTGTGAAGGAAATGGAATGAAAGCTGAGTCAGCAAAAACAGCTCTAGAAACAAAAGAACAAGGTTTGAAAGAGGTTCTTTCTAACACAGGCATCCTCTAAGAAGTCAAACACAAACTGAAGGCTCCGAAGCTTTGAAGAGTTCAGTCTTCCATATCTGTCCATGCTTTCAGTCACTGCATATAACTGACTCCACTTAATAGAATCCTACACGTTTTGCTTATCCTTGATTTCCAAGGAGGAGGTGCTCAGAATAACTGGGACTTTCAGAGGCTAGAAAGGGCAAAAACCACCTTCCATGTCGCAAAACTCAGCAGGATAACTTGAATCACGGACGAGCATTTGCTTAGAACTAAATCCAGTTGGAAGCAGCTTCACTCAGCATCCGTTGACTTGTAGTGATCATCGTCCACAGTGGAGTAGATGTGTCCCTCGCTGCTAAGGAATTCAACAGCTTGCCTTGAAGGAAAAAAACAACCCAACAATTGCTGACTAACTCTTATCAAGCCCCTCTACTGATTTCCTAAGCCTCAGGAAGAAGTTGTAAGAGACAGCAAAGGAGAACAGAAACAGCCTATTCCCAAGCTTTGAGCAGCGTGCAGAGAGTAAGGTAGGCCTTGAACAGGAGAAACTACTGCTGAGACACTGAAGCACTCCTGGTGCTGTTGGTTTGCTACTGAGCTGTGGGGAGCAAAGCACTTTATCACCCCTTCAAGTGCCACTGGCTCATTCTAAGCTCACTACTGCGTCCTACTGGGAACACCTGAAATTACCAGCGCTGTTCCACAAGCAAGGATCAGGGCTTGCTCACTATTTCCCTCCCTGCCTCCTTCGACCCGACTCCAGGAAGGACTCCCTGCATTTCCAGAACATCCTTTGTTTCTATAGACTTACTTGATGGTTGACATGCTGACGTTGTGGAGCTGAACCTTCAGCTCTTGAAGACTCATACCTTCTGGGACAGGGCAGCTTTTAATCAAGTTCAGCACCTGGAAAAGCAAGAACCACCATTAGCACACAGCTGAGCTGCTCTTATCGTGGATGGAGAACAAGGCTGGGGAAGAACCATCCACCTTTAAGGAGTCACTGAGCTTTGTCCTACATCACTGCAGCAGCCTCCACTGCGGAGCTGTTGGCACCTACCTGAGTCTGGTGCGCTGTGAGCCCGTTCACTGGCAGGCTGCCACCTCCTCCATAGCCCCCCACGTTACCCATCCCAGTGCCGAAGGACTGAGGTGCTTTTGATGCTGACTGAAATACAAGAGTAAAACTGCTGTGGTGAGGCTGGTTAAAAGACTCGCTGTTACTGCAGTAATTACAAACAGACACCCCAAAGAAACCACTGGAAACAGACTGCAACACAATCGCTCTCTCCAAGGAAGCCAGGATTCCTGTTACACCTTCACTGCTCCACCAGCTTTAAGCTTCCCAGCCCCACAAGTGGTCTACAACTTCCCCAACAAACCAAGAGGTCCCTCTCTCTGGCAGACAACCAGTGAGCCAGTCAGGGCCAAGAGCAAATGAGGATCTTCAAACACATACCATAAGATTTCTCCTGAGGATCATATGTGCATTGACAATCTCTACCATGTGTGTGGTGAACTCGTTCATGTTTTCCAGAGGCATGATCTTAAACGCCACCAAACTTTTCTTATTCTTTCAGGGAGGAAAAAGAAGAAAGGAAGGAACGAAAACTAATACCATAGCAGCAGGAAAGTGCCAGAACCCCCCCTGGTGGTGGTAGAGACAAAGACAAATGGCATGCCTAGGAAGAGCAGCTACCTAAACATAGCCACACATAAAAGAGAACAAAATACTTGTTCACTGGAGTGCAATGAGAGGATGAGCAAGGACCACAATGAAGTGGACATTCTAAAGGAAACCCGCTAACACTGAGCCAGATCATCAGGCCACTGCTCCAGCCTCAGGACCTGGTACCCAGCCATGGGTGACATGATCTTACCTGGAAAGACCGAAGATGACCAGCAACTTTGACATAAGTTCCTGGAGGTACCACCACATTCTCGCTACCCACTTCCTGACAGAGAGGAAAAGGAGAAAGGGGGGGTGTTTCTCATTCATAGTTATACGTCCTAATAGATGGCTTAGGAAAGGAGGCTTATCTCAAGCAAACACAAATGGCACAGCCAGGAAGAGCAGTTAGATAAGCGTAATAAATAAAAGAGAACAGAATACTTGTTCATTGGAGCCACCATACATGTGCTTTGAAGGTGTCCCTGCCCATGGCAGGGGGTTGGAACCGGATGCACTTTAAAGCCCCTTCCAACCCAAACCATTCCAGGATTCTATGCAAATCTCTGTTCGCTCTCTGTATTTCCATGGGAGTCCTGAGCACACATCTCTCAGTTCAGCTGTGAAGTAATGGTTCCACTTCAGCTACTACACTCTGTTATACACAGTGATTCAACATAGAATTACATGTGAATTAGAAAACAGAAAGGTCACAGCACACCAGTGATCTCTGCTCCAGCAGCATCTCCTGTGGATTTCAGATACATCACCCCCTTAAATGCATCCACATCTTTTTGCTCAAATATCCTGGGAGAAGCAGGGAATTGGACATGATGATCCTTATGGGCTCCCGACCCCATAGCTTCCCTCCCTTCACTGCTCCCAAAAAGCTTTCACTGAAGCACATCTGTAACGCATCCGAGCCTTACGTCGGTGTCGACCCACTGCCTGACATCCATCGGGGCCGCCGTCATGTCGTCCACCTTGTACAGGATGTTCGTCGGTGCCTTCTCCGCATGCCGGATGATCCCCACGATGGTGACCTGTGGCGGAGCAGGCTCCTCTGTTCACCCGGGGAGCCCCGGGGCCCGCCCGCCCTCCCTCCCTCCCTCCGCAGGGGCTCACCTGGGCGATCTCCACGTCGCCGATCCGGAAGGTCTCCTCGACCTGCTCCGCCGCCAGCAGCTGCGACACGGTGCAGGGCACGATGTTCTGCGAGCGGAGCCGCTGCAAGGGGCGGCAGGGCCGTCAGCGCCGAGGGGACCCCGCGGCCCCGGCCCTGCCCCAAGGCCCTGCCCCGGCCTACCTGCTTCTTCTCCGCCTGGCTGCCGGCCGGGGAGCTGAAGCCGCCGCCGGCGGGGGAGTTGAAGCCGCCCGCGGACCTCGCGGCGCCCACGCTGCCGTAGCCGCTGTCGAGAGCACCTGAGGGGGGGAAAGGGAGCGCGTGAACGGGTAGCGGTGGCCCCGCACCCCCGCCGCCATCACAGCACACCCTGTGTGGACTGCGGACATAACCCCCCCCCCGCCCCGCCTTGTCCCGATTCAAGGCCGGGAGCTC